GCTTTGAACATCGTGTTCGAGTAACCATCGTCATCCACCTGCGTAAGAAGGTTTTCAGCAATGGTAGTTGCTCCATAATCCCTGACCGTTCCATCGTCGAATTCAACCTCATACATGATGGTATTCAGCGCTGGATTGGGATCGTAGGTTCCCATCTGTTTTCCTTCAGGAGTTGTGACTCGTTGTTTGACTTTTCCAATGGAAATTCGTTCACCATCCGTGTGCATCTTGATTTCAGCATTTAGGAGCAGATCATACACCGGCTGCTGATTGATGAGACGTCCATGAATGTCAACATAGTCTTCATTGTCAGGTATTGGTTTTGAAAATTCATCGTCATCTTGGTAGGTAGCCCACTCATCTTCCTCCTCCTCCTCTGGAAGAGGTACATTCTTTCGTTGACGACCAAGTGTGTTGCCAAAGCGGGCTTCAATTAACTTGTCAAAAGCATCGCGCTTCTTGAGTTCCATGTCAGAATGAAGCTCTCCAGAGGTGAGAGGGCGAACTGTTCGTCGTGAGACAACTTTACCATTCGGTTTCAAAACCCATTGACACATTTTGTTGCCCTCGCCTGTTGCAGGCCCAAGGCAACGTCCAAGTACTTCCTTATTTGAGGGGAAGCCAGCCTCGTTGTCCATCGCATAGCACCATTCATAATAATCAAACTGAGCAACATTGGAGATATCGCCAGCCTGGCCAGTGATAGTTTCCTCCGGAACCTTTCCATGCAGTTGGAAGAGATTCTTTGCAGTTAGGTTGTTGATGGTTGCACGACGTTCAAGACAATAATCCCAGAGAACCAAGGGGCAGTTGGAGGTCCGCATATCACGACGGACTGCCGCCTTTATCAGTCCAACATAGAGTTCAGCACGGTTTGACCACGGGGTTCCCTGCTCTAGGACGCGAAGTGTGGTCCCAATGCTGTGCATAAATTCTCTGAGCTCTTTAGATGTTTGTTCACCAGCAGCGTCACAGATAATCGCGTCAGGAGCTCCAACTTCTTTCGCAAATTGTTTCACCGCTGAAAGCACATCTTTCTTGCTGCGCATAGGCACAACATACACATAGCCCTTATCAGTCACAAAGAGCTGGCAACAAGTGTTGCCTCTGGTAGATCGACCACCATTCTTAGCAGCAAAGAATGTGTCCATGAAGAAGTATTGATTAATCCTCTTGTATCGTAGCATTCGATCATTTGTACCATAGTTGCGGGCCATCTTTGGGTTGTCAGTATGGCGTCGCTTTTGTGTGGTTGCTTGCAAGGTTCGTTCTGCCGTCGGGAGATCTAATTTCCATATTTTCGCAAGGTGAGCAGCTTGGACTCCCTTTGACGGTTTGGCGTACGTTGCAGAGGCCATTACTTCATCAAGATCAACTTGCTTCCTGTCAGCCATAGCTGCAATCTTGGTGAATAAATCATCTCCACTCAACATCTCTTCAAAGTCCAGTTCACTGTTCATGTCCTCAAACAGAAAATCAGTGTCATCTTCATGGGCGTGTGTTGATCCCAATGACGTCATCATAGACGAAACTTCACGGCGAGTGGAGAGACGGTGACTCAGTGTGCGCTCACATAAAATACTTGAGATAGAGGCAAGGTCGACATTGAAAGGTTGTCCCAAAAGGCCTTCATCAGCATCATCCTCCTCTAGAACGGACTCATCAACAAGGGTCTGTTCTTCCAATCTCATAGTCGACATTGCACACACAGTCATCGTTGGATCATCTTCAATATCTGAAATCAAAAGCTTGGAACGGTTCCGAGCATCAGCAACTTCACCATCATAATTGACAAGATGATCTTCAGTCTGCGCATAGGAAGACTTGTGCGGATCAAACTCCTCTGGTGTCATCATGTAGACGTGATTAGGATCAGCATCATTGAGCTGTTCGACTGTAGGTTTTCTCGTGACAAAGTAAGAGAAGGTACCATGCAGCTTCATTGGGATGCGTAGATGCTCGTCAAACTTGATTGCATGATCATCAGAAGAGGGATCGGCCAAATGGATCTTTGGCGTATCGTTCACTTGGATTCCTTTTTCTCGCAGAATAAATGGAGGAATCAGGTTGTGGGTCATAGAGGGTACATGTAGAGCATTTCGGATCACAAGTATATATTCCTGCCCAGTGACCTGATCCTCATACAGTAGGGCAGCATCAACGATTGGGATACTCTTTGCAGCATATTCAGGATTGTAGGGATTGACAGAAGCAGTCCGCCCAGTGTCACTCAGAACAAAACAATTGGATCCAACAACAATCATATTGGCGTGGGAGTCAAGTTCCGACCTAGAATCCATTGAGTGCTCAACATTGGTAGCATCAATTCGTAGTGCAGCAGCAATCGTGGCAAAGAATGATGGGGACACTGGAATGGTTGTGGCATCCATCATCTTCCAGGGTGGGTCCGGCTCCAGAGTCCAATGCATCGCAGAAATAACTTTGGGCTCGGCCGGGACCAGTCAATGTTTCTTCCCAAGAATCTTGGCAAGAACAATAGCATTGACATCAGCAGATGTAGAAGGAGCAGGCGCATGGCTAGCGGCATTGGCTGTTTTGAGTGCACTGACAAGAGTATCATGGAGACCTTTCTTCTTGTCTTCCTCATCAGTGTATTGCTTGACACGTCGTTTCAGCTCCTTTTCAAAAGCAGCAGCCGATACTTTTCCTTCTTTCTTTGGAGACGAGTTTCCACCATGAGCTTTAGCCTTTGCAGCTCTATCTCTTGCGACTGCAGCCTTCCCCTCAGGTGTCAAACGCCAAGCTTTGAGCTCAGCTCTTTGCTCTGCAGGGAGCTTGTCGAACTCCTTTTTCTTGTAGAAACGAAGATGAACGCCAGTCTTTCCAATTCCAGATCTCAGAGAAGCAATCTCAATGGTTTGGTTGGCTGATTCATCAATGGTAACAGTAGTATCTGAAATTTGTGCGTGACTGCGCTTGTTCTTCTTGGCAACCGGGTCGGCAAGTTGGAGCAATCGTGCACATTCTTCAAAAGAATATCTTGGGCCATTAGGATCTTCGTTGCCCTCAATGTTGGCAATAGTCGCATGGAGCCCAGGATCAGTTGTGTGGAGCGCTCGAAGGAGGTATCCAATCCTTGTGTGCTCATTTGGAATCTGGTATTCCACATGTTGAGAGGCAGTAAGGAGAGCCTGGTGGGCATTGCGGTGTCCTCCAATGAATCGTTCCAAAGGAAAAGTGCCGTTTCCCTTCCACTTTTGAACAGTAATGAAATCGGTGTTCTTTTCAATTTCTTTAGACCACTTCTCTTTACCAAGGTATTGAGCAACAATGGCAAAGAAGGCACCTCTTCCATCTCTTGTCTGCTCAAATGGGGTCAAAGACGAAGCATAAGTCGTCCCTCGTAGCGCTTCCTCCAGTTTGGCAAATACTCGAGCATTATCCTGGTGAAACCTAGGATGAGTGTGGGATGCTCTAGCAGTGAATTCAGCAACAAGCGAGCCATGTTCAATAGAATATGGTCGATCCGGAGCAAGTGGTGGTTCAGCTGGAACATCAGCGTCTTCTCTCAAGACATATCCAAGAGGGAAACCTCTTACACCATAGCTCTCATGGATGACAGATCTAAAGGCAGCAAGCCATTTCATGATGGGCAAAGCTTTGCTGACACAGGGTACCTTTGGATCTTCCCGCTCTTGAGCAATCTTCAGTGCTTCACGCTCCTCTTGATACATGATGAGTGTATTTGTCCATCTCATGCATGCTGCAGTGAGCGCTCTGCCAGTAGCAAGATAAAATCGGACAGCAGAGGCAGCAGTCTTGAGGCGTGAAAGAGACAGGGCGCTGAAGACACTATTTGGAGGGCCATGTCTTGTGATGTGCTTGTGAATATCATCAAGCATGCCGTCATTGAACTCCTTGAGCGAATCTATTGTTGTGATGCCTTGCTGATTCAGATGGGGATCGAAAATTCCTGGTGGGATTGCCATCTGATCATCATGGGTGAAGAAAGCAGTGTTTTGGGCATTTGTAATGACCATTCTGGGTAGTCGTTAGACAGTGGGTACTGATAAACTGTTTAGATGTTGGGTGATGACAACGGAAAAGACGTAAAACCTTGTTGTCTGAAAATTAATTGAATTGTGTGCGAAAACATGCACGTAAACGATCGCTAGCATCGCCAACGTTCACCAACGTTCAATTTGGCGTACTAACCGACATTCCGTCTGTCTGCCTGACGTTAGAACACCATTGCATGCGTGTGCAATAGCACGGTAGCCTTCATTTGATTCAACGAGCGCAAAACACGCCAAAAACACCAACTCCTCGCGTGTTATTTTTTAAAAACATCAAAGATTGCTTCGAAATTTTGGAGCTCTCTTTTCTAAAAATGCGTCGCGACCCTCCTGTGATTCTCGAGACATGTAAAACATTCGTGTCATCTCCCCTCCCATTTGCATGATCCCAGCGCCACCGTCTTCATCTGCATTCAACGCAGCCTTGCAACACGCAATCGCTATGGAAGTTTGGTTCGAAACAATATAAGAAAAAAGAAAAGTAACAATTAAAAAATTGAGACCCAAGACGTAGTACTCACCAGTTGGGGAGTTCATTGCAATACGACGGACCCATTGTGCTGCGCGCCCTTCGAGCTCCTCTTTCGGAAAATATGCATTGATTAACCCCATTTCATAGGCTTGTTTCGCGTCATAAAACTTACAAAGGAACCAAACCTCTCGAGCTCGCTTTTGACCAATCAGGCGTGCCATGTGAGTTGATCCATAGCCAGCATCAAAGCTACCCATGCGAGGACCAGTTTGCCCGAAAACAGAAATGTCACTTGCCAGTGTAATATCTGCTACCATATGCAAGATGTGACCTCCGCCAATTGCATATCCGTCAACAATCGCAACTATAGGCTTTGGGCAGCGTCTCATTTGCCTGCAATCGAGGTATAAGACTTATGCGCACCAGGATCATATAAATTGCAGAAGATTCTCTTACATTTGTAGGTCCAGCACTCGAAGTTTCGGTTGCCTTTCTGTTCCATCCTGGTAGCCACCGCCATTTGATCTAACGTTCTGATCTCCTCCTGAACAAAAGGCTGGGGTGAACTTGCTTGGGTCATTGTTGGAGGCCAGCATAATTACCCAGATTCTTGGATCTTCGCTTGCAAGTTCTAAAGCGTGCTGTATCTCACGAATCGTCCGTGGTCGAAAGGCATGCAACACTTCCGGACGATTAAAGGCAATCCGTGCGCATTTGTTTTCCACCGAGATTTCATAGGTGATATCTTGGAACTCATCAACTTCAGTCGTCCACACGATGGATTCTCTCGAAATTGACTCAAAACCATCCCTCTCTTTCGTAGGTGGTGCAGTTTTGGATGCCTTCCGAGCATAGCTCATGGAAGCCACATCGGTTGAGCTCATTGTTTCAATCAATACTGTGCACCTTTTTCAGGGATATCCCGCGGTTTTCTGTGAAGCCAGGGATATGCCGCATTTTGTCGTGAATCTGATTAGAGATTGGAGGCAGGCCGGCTTGATCACCCTTTCTGCAGGGGGGTTGGTGATTCAACATCTTCCGTCGTCATGGAATTCAATCATTGTTTA